TTTTTATTAGTTTTGTAAGTATACAAAAATTATTAAGTGATTTTTATATGTAACATCTTTAATATCTTTATAAAACTGTGTATTAAAAAAAGAAAAGGATAAAGCCAAGTACATATTTAGCCAGATGCTCTTAGTATTTTAAAGAAAACGAATGTGATGGACACAAATGATCTAATTATGTGTACTAAGGGTTGATGAGACAATAATTTGTAGATTGTTGACCAATTTACTGGAGGACATTCGACAACACGTCGGCTGCTTATTTCAATTAAGCGCTGATGTGGCGGAGTTGGACTTAATTTTATCGTTGGCGCAAATCAGTTCTAATCCAGAATACGTGAGACCGTCATTTGGAGCAAAATTAGAATTAATAAATTCGTTACACCCCATTATGGAATTATTTAACAGAGATCTTCCCGTGGCTAACGACGTGGTAAGTTGGACGTTAAATAACTTGTATATCTCGAGAAAATGTATGATATTTTCTTATTTTATGTTGAAACACGCAGAACGCTTCGATTACGCATAATTTTCACCTAATAACTGGACCGAATATGAGCGGCAAGTCTACGTATTTAAAGCAGATCGTTCTACTTCAAATCATGGCGCAGGTAACACAAATGATACATTTACTAATTGACTCCTTTCGCATTTGTTTTCGATCATTACATTAATTACATAAAATATTCATTATTATGTAATATGTAATAAAATTAAAACACACTTCTGTAAAAGAATCATTCCATCTATAACGTAATCACGTAATGTATCTATATATAATATTCGATCAGATAGAATTTTTGCTTGACAAGAGCGTTTCGTAAAACTAGGTAATGAGCCGACATATCGGTATCTCGTACCCATTACTCGAATCTCATTGCAGATCGGTTCCTATGTACCGGCAACGAAAGCAACGTTCCGCGTTGCGGATCGCATACTTTGTAGGATTAGCTCTCGCGATGACGCCGAGCTCAATGCATCCGCCTACGTCCTCGAGGTGAGCGAGATATTTTATACTTCATATCAAACTATGTCAGAATAAAGTATAAAATATTTTGTAAATTATTTTAGTTCTCCACCTCAATATTTTTACGCAAATTAAATAGAAGGCTCATTTATGCGTGAAAATCATATAATTTAAAAAATAGTACAATCTCAAAAAATCGTTTTGCTCGAATATTGATTTTACCATTATCTGTCTCCCTTCAAACCGAACAATTTTCGAAACGTTTTTTTATAAAAACCATTTCTCACTAAAGTGATCATGATACTGGCCATTCCTAACGTTACTCGACCTTAATCGTTTAACAAGAACCAATATTTCTAATGCAAGACTGTTGACATCTAATTGTACTGATGATTTGCAGAGCGACGATTAAACGTAATTACTGATGATTTGATTGTTTCAGATGAAGGAGGCACAATACATCCTGCAATCCGTCACGCCCAAGTCTCTCGTCATACTTGACGAGCTCTGCAGGCATACTACAGTCGAGGAGGGTTCCGCCATCGCTTGGGCGATATGCGAGAAATTATCGCTGAGGACCGCGTTCACGTTCGCCGCGACGCACTTTTTACATCTTACCGCACTGAGCAATATGTATCATAACGTAACATCGTATGTGAAAATCGTGCAGGAACATATTACACA